AGATTTTAGATTCCTATATGTTGAATGTATGCACCATCCTGCCAAAGTAAATTCCGTGTCGGTGTGAACTTACATGGCGAATAAAACCCTTTCTGATTCTGATTCTGATAATATATCCAGAGACCCATAGAAACCCATAGAAACCCACAGAGACGCACAGAGACCTATACTCATAGAGACCCATACTCATAGAGGCCTACAGATATCCATAATATATCCAGAGACCCATATAAACCCATAGAAACCCACAGAGACGCACAGAGACCCATACTCATAGAGACCCATACTCATAGAGGCCTACAGATATCCAGAATATATCCAGAGACCCATATAAACCCATAGAAACCCACAGAGACGCGCAGAGACCCATACTCATAGAGACCCATACTCATAGAGACCCATACTCATAGAGACCCATACTCATAGAGACCCATACTCATAGAGGCCTACAGATATCCAGAATATATCCAGAGACCCATATAGACCCATAGAAACCCACAGAGACGCACAGAGACCCATACTCATAGAGACCCATACTCATAGAGACCCATACTCATAGAGGCCTACAGATATTCAGAAAGCCATATAGACTAATAGAAACCCACAGAGACGCACAGAGACCCATAATCATAGAGACCCATACTCATAGAGACCCACAGAGATCCACAGAGCCATATAGACCCATAGAAACCCACAGATTCCCATAGAAACCGACAAAGACGCACAGAGACCCATACTCACAGAGACCCACAGATATCCAGAATATATCCAGAGACCCATATAAACCCATAGAAACCCACAGAGATGCACAGAGACCCATACTCATAGAGACCCATACTCATAGAGACCTACAGATATCCAGAATATATCCAGAGACCCATATAGACCAATAGAAACCCACAGAGACGCACAGAGACCCATACTCATAGAGACCCATACTCATAGAGACCAATGGAGATCCAGAGAGCCATATAGACCCATAGAAACCCACAGATTCCCATAGAAACCCACAGAGACGCGCAGAGACCCATACTCATAGAGACCCATACTCATAGAGACCTACAGATATCCAGAATATATCCATAGACCCATATAAACCCATAGAAACCCACAGAGACGCATAGAGACACATACTCATAGAGACACATACTCATAGAAACCCACAGAGATCCATAGAAACCCACAGAGACGCGCAGAGACCCATAATCATAGAGACCCACAGATATCCAGAATATATCCAGAGACCCATAGAAACCCATAGAAACCCACAGAGACGCACAGAGACCCATACTCACAGAGACCCATACTCATAGAGACCCATACACATAGAGGTCTACAGATATCCAGAGACCCATATAGACCAATAGAAACCCACAGAGACGCACAGAGACCCATACTCATAGAGACCCATACTCATAGAGACCAATGGAGATCCAGAGAGCCATACAGACCCATAGAAACCCACAGATTCCCATAGAAACCGACAAAGACGCGCAGAGACCCATACTCATAGAGACCCATACTCATAGAGACCCACAGATATCCAGAATATATCCAGAGACCCATATAAACCCATAGAAACCCACAGAGACGCACAGAGACCCATACTCATAGAGACCCATACTCATAGAGGCCTACAGATATCCATAATATATCCAGAGACCCATATAAACCCATAGAAACCCACAGAGACGCACAGAGACCCATACTCATAGAGACTCATACTCATAGAGGTCTACAGATATCCAGAATATATCCAGAGACCCATATAAACCCATAGAAACCCACAGAGACGCACAGAGACCCATACTCATAGAGACCCATACTCATAGAGGTCTACAGAGATCCAGAGAGCCATATAGACCAATAGAAATCCACAGAGACGCACAGAGACCCATACTCATAGAGACCCATACTCATAGAGACCCATACTCATAGAGACCCATACTCATAGAGACCCATACTCATAGAGACCCATACTCATAGAGACCCATACGCATAGAGACCCATACTCATAGAGACCCATACGCATAGAGACCCATACTCATAGAGACCCATACTCATAGAGACCCATACTGATGGAGACCCATACTCATAGAGACCCATACTGATGGAGACCCATACTCATAGAGACCCATACTCATAGAGACCCATACTCATAGAGACCCATACTCATAGAGACCCATACTCATAGAGACCAATGGAGATCCAGAGAGCCATATAGACCCATAGAAACCCACAGAGATCCATAGAAACCCACAGAGACGCACAGAGACCCATAATCATAGAGACCCATACTTATAGAGACCAATGGAGATCCAGAGAGCTATATAGACCCATAGAAACCCACAGATTCCCATAGAAACCGACAAAGACGCGCAGAGACCCATACTCATAGAGACCCACAGATATCCAGAATATATCCAGAGACCCATATAAACCCATAGAAACCCACAGAGACGCACAGAGACCCATAATCATAGAGACCCATACTCATAGAGGCCTACAGATATCCAGAATATATCCAAAGACCCATATAAACCCATAGAAACCCACAGAGATGCACAGAGACCCATACTCATAGAGACCCATACTCATAGAGGCCTACAGATTTCCAGAATATATCCAAAGACCCATATAAACCCATAGAAACCCACAGAGACGCGCAGAGACCCATAATCATAGAGACCCATACTCATAGAGACCAATGGAGATCCAGAGAGCCATATAGACCCATAGAAACCCACAGATTCCCCTAGAAACCGACAAAGACGCGCAGAGACCCATACTCATAGAGACCCATACTTATAGAGGCCTACAGATATCCAGAATATATCCAAAGACCCATATAAACCCATAGAAACCCACAGAGACGCACAGAGACCCATACTCATAGAGACCCATACTCATAGAGGCCTACAGATATCCATAATATAACCAGAGACCCATATAGACCAATAGAGACCCACAGAGACGCACAGAGACCCATACTCATAGAGACGCATACTCATAGAGACCCATGGAGATCCAGAGAGCCATATAGACCCATAGAAGCCCACAGATTCCCATAGAAACCTGCAGAGATGCACAGAGACCCATACTCATAGAGACCCATACTCATAGAGACCCATACTCATAGAGGTCTACAGATATCCAGAATATATCCAAAGACCCATATAAACCCATAGAAACCCACAGAGATGCACAGAGACCCATACTCATAGAGACCCATACTCATAGAGGCCTACAGATTTCCAGAATATATCCAAAGACCCATATAAACCCATAGAAACCCACAGAGACGCGCAGAGACCCATAATCATAGAGACCCATACTCATAGAGACCAATGGAGATCCAGAGAGCCATATAGACCCATAGAAACCCACAGATTCCCCTAGAAACCGATAAAGACGCGCAGAGACCCATACTCATAGAGACCCATACTTATAGAGGCCTACAGATATCCAGAATATATCCAAAGACCCATATAAACCCATAGAAACCCACAGAGACGCACAGAGACCCATACTCATAGAGACCCATACTCATAGAGGCCTACAGATATCCATAATATAACCAGAGACCCATATAGACCAATAGAGACCCACAGAGACGCACAGAGACCCATACTCATAGAGACGCATACTCATAGAGACCCATGGAGATCCAGAGAGCCATATAGACCCATAGAAGCCCACAGATTCCCATAGAAACCTGCAGAGATGCACAGAGACCCATACTCATAGAGACCCATACTCATAGAGACCCATACTCATAGAGGTCTACAGATATCCAGAGAGCCATATAGACCCATAGAAACCCACAGAGACGCACAGAGACCCATAATCATAGAGACCCATACTCATAGAGACCCACAGATATCCAGAATATATCCAGAGACCCATATAAACCCATAGAAACCCACAGAGACGCGCAGAGACCCATACTCATAGAGACCCATACTCATAGAGACCCATACTCATAGAGACCCATACTCATAGAGACCCATACTCATAGAGACCCATACTCATAGAGACCCATACGCATAGAGACCCATACTCATAGAGACCCATACTCATAGAGACCCATACTCATAGAGACCCATACTCATAGAGACCCATACGCATAGAGACCCATACTCATAGAGACCCATACGCATAGAGGCCCATACTCATAAAGACCCATACTCATAGAGACCCATACGCATAGAGACCCATACTCATAGAGACCCATACTCATAGAGACCCATACTCATAGAGACCCATACGCATAGAGACCCATACTCATAGAGACCCATACTCATAGAGACCCATACTCATGGAGACCCATACGCATAGAGACCCATACTCATAGAGACCCATACGCATAGAGACCCATACTCATAAAGACCCATACTCATAGAGACCCATACTCATAGAGACCCATACGCATAGAGGCCCATACTCATAAAGACCCATACTCATAGAGACCCATACTCATAGAGACCCATACTCATAGAGACCCATACTCATAGAGACCCATACTCATAGAGACCCATACTCATAGAGACCCATACTCATAGAGACCCATACGCATAGAGACCCATACTCATAGAGACCCATACTCATAGAGACCCATACTCATAGAGACCCATACTCATAGAGACCCATACTCATAGAGACTCACAGAGATCCAGAGAGCCATATAGACCCATAGAAACCCGCAGAGACCCATATAAACCCGCAGAGACGCGCAGAGACCCATACTCATAGAGACCCATAGTAAAACTCAACTATTTTTTATTTATTAATGTTTACCAGGTACAAGGCCCACTTAGCTACGTAGCTCTTTTTTAAGAAGCGACATGACCACCACAATCGATAACTCAACGGAAGTGGCTGATATCGTCATCACGTGGAAATGTATAGCAGCAGCAGCAGCAGCCAAATAACTCTGCATCTCTCTCTCTCTCTCTGGGGAGAGAGAGAGAGAGAGATGCAGACTCCAAATATACAGCAGCAGGCATCGTCAGGGTCGAGATTGAACCGATGACCTCCTGGTTTCCAGGCGAGGGCGTTAACATCTCGCAGGGTCCGGGATCCACGGACTTTAAGTTTGTATCACGAAAAAAAATCTGTGCTTAATTGAGCAAAATCACTAATGCCCTGATTTTGCAGCGGCTATGTTGTCGAACGCCAATGGTTTGCATCTATACTCGGAGTCTAAAGTGGGTTTCTCAAACGTGAGTCCTGACACCACGACAAGTATTTTCAATTTTTGCCAATTTATCATCGGTACAAATTAACTGGTTTTACAAGCTGCACACACCTAATGATTGTGGAAAAAAAAACATCCCTCCGTTTATATTAAGAGATTACTTTCATTCCAACTAATGGCATGATTGAAAATAATTATAAACATCTGCACAAAAACTAACCAATTCTTCCACGTGCGAGGGAGCTAACCCGCGAACCTCCTACAGACCAAGCGAGAGAATTAACATCTCGTAGCCACTGCTGCGCCTATCCACTCACTCACTCTCTGTCGATGACCAGGCACGTGACTGGCTCCATTGCGATCACGTTGGCTGTCCTCACGTCCTCCCTGTGGGCAGGAACACACACGTGGCAACAGAGGCTCGTCATCATCATCGTTATCATCATCATGATTATCACCATGACCACCATCATCATCATTACCATCATTATTATCACCATGACTATCATCATTATTACCATCATCATCATCATCATTATTATGGCGATCATCATGTCCACCATGATCATTATCATTATTATCAACATCATTACCACCATCATTATCATCATTATTATTATCAGCATTACCATCATCAGTACCATTATCAGCAACAGCAGAATATGCATGAGTGTGTGATAGGGTGGGTGAGTGAATGAGTGGGTGAGTGAATGAGTGGGTGAGTGAGTGGGTGAGTGAGTGGAAGGGTGTGTGAGTGGATGAATGGGAGGATGGGTGGGTGAGTGAGTATGTGGGTGAGTTAGCGAGTGGATGAGTGGTTGAGTGAGTGGGTGAGTAAGTGGGTGAGTGTCTGCATGAGTGGGTGGGTGGTTGGGTGAGTGTGTACGAGTGAGAGGTTGAATGGGAGCGGTCGTGTAGCTGTTAGCGCTACGCTGCGCTACGAACCTGGCGACCCGGGTTCGATTCCCGCTCACGGCCAACACCAATGACGATTATCTGAACCGGTCCTGGGCCTCCCCTAGGTCGACTCAGCCTCAAATGAGTACCTGGTGCGGTGTGTGAACATCGCCACTAGGGAGACAAAGGCGGCCGGGCGTGGTGCTGGCAGCCCACCCCCTCGTCTGCCGCAGTGCCGGCCTTCATAGGTGCTCGCTAACATCGCTTGCCCCTACAGTTTGTTGAGTGAGTGAGTGGGTGGATGAGTAAGTGGATTCATGGATTGGTGGTTGAATGAGTGGGTGTGTGGGTGAGTGTGTGGGTGAGTGTGTGGGTGAGTGGGTGGGTGAGTGTGTGGGTGAGTGTGTGGGTGAGTGTGTGGGTGAGTGTGTGGGTGAGTGTGTGGGTGAGTGGGTGGGTGAGGGTGAGGGTGTGGGTGAGGGTGTGGGTGAGTGGGTGGGTGAGTGTGTGGGTGAGTGGGTGGGTGAGTGGGTGGGTGAGTGTGTGGGTGGGTGAGTGTGTGGGTCGGTATGTGGGTGAGTGGGTGGGTGAGTGGGTGGGTGGGTGTGTGGGTGAGTGGGTGGGTGTGTGGGTGAGTGGGTGGGTGAGTGGGTGGGTGAGTTGGTGGGTGAGTGTGTGGGTGGGTGTGTGGGTGAGTGTGTGGGTGAGTGTGTGGGTGAGTGTGTGGGTGAGTGTGTGGGTGAGTGGGTGGGTGAGTGTGTGGGTGAGTGTGTGGGTGAGTGGGTGGATGAGTGGGTGGGTGAGTGGGTGGGTGAGTGGGTGGGTGAGTGGGTGGGTGAGTGTGTGGTTGAGTGTGTGGTTGAGTGTGTGGGTGAGTGTGTGGGTGAGTGTGTGGGTGAGTGTGTGGGTGAGTGTGTGGGTGAGTGTGTGGGTGAGTGTGTGGGTGAGTGGGTGGGTGAGTGTGTGGGTGAGTGTGTGGGTGAGTGTGTGGGTGAGTGGGTGGGTGAGTGTGTGGGTGAGTGTGTGGGTGAGTGTGTGGGTGAGTGGGTGGGTGAGTGTGTGGGTGAGTGTGTGGGTGAGTGTGTGGGTGAGTGGGTGGGTGAGTGTGTGGGTGAGTGTGTGGGTGAGTGTGTGGGTGAGTGTGTGGGTGGGTGAGTGTGTGGGTGAGTGTGTGGGTGAGTGTGTGGGTGAGTGTGTGGGTGAGTGTGTGGGTGAGTGTGTGGGTGAGTGTGTGGGTGAGTGTGTGGGTGAGTGTGTGGGTGAGTGTGTGGGTGAGTGGGTGGGTGAGTGGGTGGGTGAGTGTGTGGGTGAGTGGGTGGGTGAGTGTGTGGGTGAGTGTGTGGGTGAGTGTGTGGGTGAGTGTGTGGGTGAGTGTGTGGGTGAGTGGGTGGGTGGGTGTGTGGGTGAGTGTGTGGGTGAGTGTGTGGGTGAGTGTGTGGGTGAGTGTGTGGGTGAGTGTGTGGGTGAGTGGGTGGGTGAGTGGGTGGGTGAGTGGGTGGGTGAGTGTGTGGGTGAGTGGGTGGGTGAGTGTGTGGGTGAGTGTGTGGGTGAGTTGGTGGGTGAGTGTGTGGGTGAGTGTGTGGGTGAGTGTGTGGGTGAGTGTGTGGGTGGGTGAGTGTGTGGATGAGTGTGTGGGTGAGTGTGTGGGTGAGTGTGTGGGGGAGTGTGTGGGTGAGTGGGTGGGTGAGTGGGTGAGTGTGTGGGTGAGTGTGTGGGTGAGTGGGTGGGTGAGTGGGTGGGTGAGTGTGTGGGTGAGTGTGTGGGTGAGTGTGTGGGTGAGTGTGTGGGTGAGTGGGTGGGTGAGTGTGTGGGTGAGTGGGTGGGTGAGTGGGTGGGTGAGTGTGTGGGTGAGTGTGTGGGTGAGTGTGTGGGTGAGTGTGTGGGTGAGTAACTCACCCCTGTAACGCCATCTCTCCGAACCAATCTCCCCTTCCCAGGGATCTGAGGAGCTCAGGCTCGTCACTCACCCCCTCGGCCTGTCTCGTTACATTCACCTGCCCAGCAATATCATCAGCATCATCATCGTCAGCAACATTGTCAACAGCAACATCATCAGTACATCCAGAAACCACCGACACGGCCATTGTGAACCCACTCACTGACACGGCCATCGTGAACCCACTCACTGACACGCACATTGTGAACCCACTCACTGACACGGCGATCGTGAACCCCCACTGACACGCACATTGTGAACCCACTCACTGACACGGCGATAGTGAACTTCACTGACACGCACATTGTGAACTCACTCACTGACACGCACATTGTGAACCCACTCACTAACACGGCCATCGTGAACCCACTCACTGACACGCACATTGCGAACCCACTCACTGACACGCACATTGTGAACCCACTCACTAACACGGCCATCGTGAACCCACTCACTGACACGCACATTGCGAACCCACTCACTGACACGGCCATCGTGAACCCACTCACTGACACGCACATTGTGAACCCATTCACTGACACGCACATTGTGAACCCCCACTAACACGAACATTGTGAACCCTCACTGACACGCACATTGTGAACCCACTCACTGACACGCACATTGTGAACCCACTCACTGACACGGCCATTGTGAACCCACTCACTGACACGCACATTGTGAACCCACTCACTGACACGCACATTGTGAACCCACTCACTGACACGCACATTGTGAACCCACTCACTGACACGCACATCGTGAACCCACTCACTGACACGCACATTGTGAACCCACTCACTGACACGCACATTGTGAACCCACTCACTGACACGGCCATCGTGAACCCCCACTGACACGCACATTGTGAACCCACTCACTGACACGCACATTGTGAACCCATTCACTGACACGGCCATCGTGAACCCTCTCACTGACACGGCGATCGTGAACCCCCACTGACACGCACATTGTGAACCCACTCACTGACACGCACATTGTGAATCCACTCACTGACACGCACATTGTGAACCCACTCACTGACACGGCCATTGTGAACCCACTCACTGACACGCACATTGTGAACCCACTCACTGACACGCACATTGTGAACCCACTCACTGACACGGCCATCGTGAACTTCACTGACACGCACATTGTGAACCCACTTACTGACACGGCCATTGTGAACCCACACTGACACGCACATTGTGAACCCACTCACTGACACGCACATCGTGAACCCCCACTGACACGCACATTGTGAACCCACTCACTGACACGGCCATCGTGAACCCACTGACTGACACGCACATTGTGAATCCACTCACTGACACGGCCATCGTGAACCCACTCACTGACACGCACATTGTGAACCCACTCACTAACACGGCCATCGTGAACCCACTCACTGACACGCACATTGCGAACCCACTCACTGACACGCACATTGTGAACCCACTCACTGACACGCACATTGTGAACCCACTCACTGACACGCACATTGTGAACCCACTCACTGACACGGCCATCGTGAACCCACTCACTGACACGCACATTGTGAACCCACTCACTGACACGGCCATCGTGAACCCACTCACTGACACGCACATTGTGAACCCATTCACTGACACGCACATTGTGAACCCCCACTAACACGAACATTGTGAACCCTCACTGACACGCACATTGTGAACCCACTCACTGACACGCACATTGTGAACCCACTCACTGACACGGCCATTGTGAACCCACTCACTGACACGCACATTGTGAACCCACTCACTGACACGCACATTGTGAACCCACTCACTGACACGCACATTGTGAACCCACTCACTGACACGCACATCGTGAACCCACTCACTGACACGCACATTGTGAACCCACTCACTGACACGCACATTGTGAACCCATTCACTGACACGGCCATCGTGAACCCTCTCACTGACACGGCGATCGTGAACCCCCACTGACACGCACATTGTGAACCCACTCACTGACACGCACATTGTGAATCCACTCACTGACACGCACATTGTGAACCCACTCACTGACACGGCCATTGTGAACCCACTCACTGACACGCACATTGTGAACCCACTCACTGACACGGCCATCGTGAACCCTCTCACTGACACGGCGATCGTGAACCCCCACTGACACGCACATTGTGAATCCACTCACTGACACGCACATTGTGAACCCACTCACTGACACGCACATTGTGAACCCACTCACTGACACGGCCATCGTGAACTTCACTGACACGCACATTGTGAACCCACTTACTGACACGGCCATTGTGAACCCACACTGACACGCACATTGTGAACCCACTCACTGACACGCACATCGTGAACCCCCACTGACACGCACATTGTGAACCCACTTACTGACACGCACATTGTGAACCCACTCACTGACACGGCGATCGTGAACCCCCACTGACACGCACATTGTGAACCCATTCACTGACACGGCCATCGTGAACCCACTGACTGACACGCACATTGTGAATCCACTCACTGACACGGCCATCGTGAACCAACTCACTGACACGCACATTGTGAAGCCACTCACTGACACGGCGATCGTGAACCCCCACTGACACGCACATTGTGAACCCACTCACTGACACGGCCATTGTGAACCCACTCACTGACACGCACATTGTGAACCCACTCACTGACACGGCCATCGTGAACCCACTCACTGACACGCACATTGTGAACCCACTCACTGACACGCACATTGTGAACCCTCACTGACACGCACATTGTGAACCCACTCACTGACACGCACATTGTGAACCCACTCACTGACACGGCCATCGTGAACCCACTCACTGACACGCACATTGTGAACCCACTCACTGACACGGCGATCGTGAACCCCCACTGACACGCACATTGTGAACCCACTCACTGACACGCACATTGTGAACCCATTCACTGACACGGCCATCGTGAACCCTCTCACTGACACGGCCACATTGTGAACCCACTCACTTACACGCACATTGTGAACCCACTCACTGACACGGCGATCGTGAACCCCCACTGACACGCACATTGTGAACCCACTCACTGACACGCACATTGTGAACCCATTCACTGACACGGCCATCGTGAACCCTCTCACTGACACGCACATTGTGAACCCACTCACTGACACGGCCATTGTGAACCCACTCACTGACACGCACATTGTGAACCCACTCACTGACACGGCCATTGTGAACCCACTCACTGACACGCACATTGTGAACCCACTCACTGACACGGCCATCGTGAACCCACTCACTGACACGCACATTGTGAACCCACTCACTAACACGCACATTGTGAACCCACTCACTGACACGCACATTGTGAACCCTCACTGACACGCACATTGTGAACCCCCACTGACACACACATTGTGAACCCACTCACTGACACGCACATTGTGAACCCACTCACTGACACGCACATTGTGAACCCACTCACTGACACGCACATTGTGAACCCACTCACTGACACGGCCATCGTGAACCCCCACTGACACGCACATTGTGAACCCACTCACTGACACGCACATTGTGAACCCACTCACTGACACGCACATTGTGAACCCACTCACTGACACGGCCATTGTGAACCCACTCACTGACACGGCCATTGTGAACCCACTCACTGACACGGCCATTGTGAACCCACTCACTGACACGCACATTGTGAACCCACTCACTGACACGGCCATCGTGAACCTCACTGACACGCACATTGTGAACCCACTCACTAACACGCACATTGTGAACCCACTCACTGACACGCACATTGTGAACCCTCACTGACACGCACATTGTGAACCCCCACTGACACACACATTGTGAACCCACTCACTGACACGCACATTGTGAACCCACTCACTGACACGCACATTGTGAACCCACTCACTGACACGCACATTGTGAACCCACTCACTGACACGGCCATCGTGAACCCCCACTGACACGCACATTGTGAACCCACTCACTGACACGCACATTGTGAACCCACTCACTGACACGCACATTGTGAACCCACTCACTGACACGGCCATTGTGAACCCACTCACTGACACGGCCATTGTGAACCCACTCACTGACACGGCCATTGTGAACCCACTCACTGACACGGCCATCGTGAACCCACTCACTGACACGCACATTGTGAACCCACTCACTGACACGGTGATCGTGAACCCACTCACTGACACGCACATTGTGAACCCACTCACTGACACGGCCATCGTGAACCCACTCACTGACACGGCGATAGTGAACTTCACTGACACGCACATTGTGAACCCACTCACTGACACGGCCATCGTGAACTTCACTGACACGCACATTGTGAACCCATTCACTGACACGGTGATCGTGAACTTCACTGACACGCACATTGTGAACCCACTCACTGACACGCACATTGTGAACCCACTCACTGACACGGCCATCGTGAACTTCACCCACACGGCCATCGTGAGCCATGTTACCTGCCCTTTGCTGATGATGAAGAAGGTGTCTCCACTCGCTCCTTGCCTGATGATGTAGTCTCCGGCATCATAGTGCATCTGTGGGGGAGACATAGGCAAAGATCCCACGTGTAGCCTGTAACAGGCTGTTTACACAGCGCACACCAGGTCCCTCATTTGAGGCTGAGTTGACCTAGGGGAGGCCCAGGACCGGTTCAAATGATCGTCACTGGTGTTGACCATGAGCGAGAATCGAACTCGGGTCGCTAAGTTCGTAGGGCAGCGTAGCGCTCACCGCTATGCCACCGCTCCCCAAGAGAGAGAGAGAGGACACACGAACACCACCATCACCACCGCTTCCTCGACCATCACCACAGCCACCAACGCCACCACCCCCACAATCATCTTCACCATCACCTCCACCATCAACGACCGCCATTCGCCACTAAGTGGCGGTGACGTCACCACGGCGCTTGTGCCAGGCTACGTGCACCCTGAGGCCACGTGAAGTGTCGAACGCCCGCTGGCAGGAGGTCAGAGGGGCAGACCCTGGTGCCACGGGTCGACTGACTGAGATGACTGAGATGACTGGCTGATGCACCACCTGTGCCCCCCCTACCGTGCCAACCTGCTGTGCTTTAGCCACCCGGCGCTCCGCTCGTTGTTGTGAGCGTCGCCCCTCTGCCCTTCATTGTTGCTGGAGGGCGACTGCATCCAACTGCCCAGCAGCGTCCTTCACGAGCCTCCTCCACAGAGGCCGATCTTGACACCGCTGGTACCAGTCATTGGCAAGTCCACTCAGCTCCACGTCCTCATGTAACACATCACTCCATCTCTTCTCTAGCTCGTGCGGCGCCTGTTTAACCCCCTCGATCCGGCCGAACAAAAGCTGTTTCGGCATGCGGTGGCTGGGCATGCGGGCTACATGACCCAGCCAATGCAGCGTTGCCTGCCAGAGGAGCTCACCGATGGGACCCTGCCCAGATCTTTCAAGGATTTGTGAGCTCCTTACACAATCCAGTCTGGTTCAACCCAGGCTGGATCATAGGGAGGCCAGCCTAAATGTTTCTAACCGGCGAAGATGTTCCATTAGGGGGGTCCACGTTTCGCAAGCGTAGAGAAGGGAGGGCATGACCGTGGCCGAGAAGACCTGAAGCTTCGTGTGGAGCGACAGACCAGGTAGCTTCCACACAGCATTATACAACCGATCAAAAGATAATACCGCTCGACTGATTCGGAGTGAGACCTCTGCTGTTAAACCGGAGCCGGTTATGAGCACACTTCCCAGGTACGGGAAACTCTCCTCTCTCTCCACAACTGCCCCATCACCAATTGTGAGTTGTGGGGGGTGGTGTGTTTGATGGTACAAAATACCCAGGCAGGTGCTTAGTTTTGGTGCGTGCTGATGGTAAGTCCCCACCGCTAAATGACACGCTCCAGGTTCAGCAGCAGCGCCTCCAACCCCTCCTCTAAGTGAGCAGCAATCACCAGATCATCGGCATACGTAACGTGGTTGACCAATAGGGAGTCGTCCCTTGACAGCACCCGGGCATCGGATCAGCCTCCGACACTCACACAGACAAAGATCCCCGTGTCCAGCACCCACGCAGACCTGCAGGTGCAAGTGCAGTTAGCGACCACCAACAGCAGCGCTGTTGATGAAGACTAGGTGTGACTTGGTGCACCTAGCCCTGGCACAGGAGTCAACCCATGGCGACTAAAAGGCCAGTCCCGTGACCTCCTCCTCCACCTAACCTGGCGACAACAGTCGACTGATGGCACCTGGGTCTGTAACGTGACCTCCTCCTGCACCTAGCCTTGCACAGCAGTACAACCAGTGGCACCTGCTGGGTCAGTCACGTGACATTCTGTCAGCAGAGTTCCGTCCACAATTCACGTGGCCTCAAAGTGCACCGGGCCTGGCACAAAGCGCCATTGGTGACGTCACCGCCACGTAGTGGTGACAGTGGTTTTGTTGTGTGTGTGTGAATGTCTAAACTGGGTCGACTCAGCCTCAAGTCAGTCTGTGGGTCTCTGTGTGAGTTTGTGGGTCTCTGTGTGAGTGGGTATGGGTATCCGTGTGAGTCTGGGTCTGTGTGAGTTTGTGGGTCTCTGTGTGAGTGTGTATGGGTCTCGGTGTGAGTCTGGGTCTGTGTGAGTCTGTGTGGGTCTCTGTGTGAGTCGGTGGGGTTCTCTGTGTGAGTCTGTATGGGTCTCCGTGTGAGTCTGGGTCTGTGTGTGTCTGTGTGGGTCTCTGTGTGAGTTTGTGGGTCTCCGTGTGAGTCTGTATGGGTCTCCGTGTTAGTCTGGGTCTGTGTGAGTCTGAGTGGGTCTCTGTGTGAGTTTGTGGGTCTCTGTGTGAGTCTGTATGGGTATCGGTGTGAGTGTGGGTCTGTGTGTGTCTGTGTGGGTCTCTGTGTGAGTTTGTGGGTCTCCGTGTGAGTCTGTATGGGTCTCCGTGTTAGTCTGGGTCTGTGTGAGTCTGTGTGGGTCTCTGTGTGAGTCCGCGAGTCTCTGTGCGAGTCGGTGGGGTTCTCTGTGTGAGTGTGTATGGGTCTACGTGTGAGTCTGGGTCTTTGTGAGTCTGTGTGGGTCTCTGTGTGAGTTTGTGGGTCTCTGTGTGAGTGTGTGGGTCTCTGTGTGAGTCTGGGTCTGTGAGTGTCTGTGTGGGTCTCTGTGTGAGTTTGTGGGTCTCTGTGTGAGTCTGTATGGGTCTCCGTGTGAGTGTGAGTCTGTGTGAGTCTGTGTGGGTCTCTGTGTGAGTCCGCGAGTCTCTGTGTGAGTGTGTATGGGTATCCGTGTGAGTATGGGTCTGTGTGTGTCTGTGTGGGTCTCTGTGTGAGTTTGTGGGTCTCTGTGTGAGTCTGTATGGGTCTCCGTGTGTGTCTGGGTCTGTGTGAGTCTGTGTGGGTCTCTGTGTGAGTTTGTGGGTCTCTGTGTGAGTCTGTATGGGTCTCCGTGTGTGTCTGGGTCTGTGTGAGTCTGTGTGGGTCTCTGTGTGAGTCCGCGAGTCTCTGTGTGAGTCTACGGATCTCTGTTTGAGTCTGTTTGGGTCTCCGTGTTGGTCTCTCTGTGAGTGTGCAGGTCTCTGTGTGAGTCGGTGGGGTTCTCTGTGTGAGTCTCTGTGCGTCTCCGTGTGAGTCAGTGGGTCTCCGTGTGAGTCTGGGTCTGTGTGAGTCTGTGTTGGTCTCTGTGTGAGTGTGTATGGGTCTCCGTGTGAGTCTGGGTCTGTGTGTCTCTGTATGGGTCTCTGTGTGAGTCTCTGTGCGTCTCCGTGTGAGTCAGTGGGTCTCTGTGTGAGTCTGTGTGGGTCTCCGTGTGAGTCTCTGTGCGTCTCCGTGTGAGTCAGTGGGGCTCCGTGTGAGTCTTTGGGTCTCTCTGTGTCTGTACGTGTGCGAGTGAGTGTTTGATGTTTCACCTCCTCAATGACATCAGCCAGCTTGCTTATCACCTCCTCTGCCAGATTCTGAAAGGATGGCACACTGACCCACACGACAAACAAAGACACACAAACAAACACAAACATGAACACAAATCAGAGACGCAAATCGCGCGTGTAGCCTTAGGAGAGACACCGAAAGAGACACCCAAAGAGACACACAGAGAGGCAGACAGAGAGACACACGGAGAGACACACAGAGAGATACCCACAGAGACACAAAGAGACACCCAGAGACACCCAGAGAGACACAGAGAGAGAGAGTCACACAGAGGGACACCCAGAGAGACACCCAGAGAGACACCCAGAGAGACACCCAGAGAGACACCCAGAGAGACACAAAGAGAGACACACAGAGAGACACCCATAGAGCCACACAGAGAGACACACAGAGAGACACCCGAAGAGTCACACAGAGAGACACACAGAGAGACAAACAGAGAGACACCCAGAGAGACACACAGAGACACACAGAGAGACACACTGAGATACACCCGGTGAGACACCCAGAGAGACACCCACAGAGACACACAGAGAGACACACAGAGAGACACACAGAGAGACACCCAGAGAGACATTCAGAGAGACACACAGAGATACACACAGAGATAAACCCGGAGAGACACCGAGAGAGACACAGAGACACACCCACAGAGAGACACACAGAGAGACAGACAGAGAGACACAGAGAGACACCCACAGAAACACACAGAAAGGCACACAGAGAGACACCCAGAGAGTAACACAGAGAGACACACAGAGAGACAGAGAGACACATAGAGAGAGGCACAGAGAGACAGACAGAGAGACACAGAGAGAGACACCCACAGAGAAACCCACAGAGAAACACGGAGAGACACCCGGGGAGACACCCAGAGAGACACACAGAGAGACACACAGAGAGACACACAGAGAAACACAAAGAGAGACACCTGGAGAGACACCCAGAGAGACACACAGAGAGACAACCACAGAGACACACAGAGAGACACCCAGAGATACACCCGGAGAGATACACAGAGAGACACCCACAGAGACACACAGAAAGACACACAGAGAGACAAACAGAGAGACACACAGAGAGACACACAGAGACACACAGAGACACACACAGAAAGACACACAGAGAGACACACAGAGAGAGACACTGAGAGACACACAGAGAGACACACAAAGAGACACACAGAGACACACAGAGAGATACCCGGAGAGACACCCACAGAGACACACAAAGAGACAGCCAGAGACACCCAGAGAGACACAGAGAGAGAGAGACACACACAGAGATACACCCGGAGAGAAACCCAGAGAGACACCCACAGAGACACACAGAAAGACACACAGAGAGACACACAGAGAGACACACACAGAGACACACAAAGAGACACACAGAGAGACACACAGAGGGACACACGAAGAGACAACCGGAGAGACACCCAGAGAGACACACACAGAGAGACACACAGAGAGTCACACAAAGAGAAACACCCAGAGAGACACACAGAGAGACACCCAGAGAGACACACAGAGAGACACACAGAGAGACACACAGAGAGACACACAGAGACACACAGAGAGACACACAGAGACACACAAAGAGACACACAGAGAGACACACAGAGAGACACCCATAGAGACACCCAGAGAGTCACAAAGAGAGACACACAGAGAGACAGAGAGACACACAGAGAGATACACAGAGAGACACACAGAGAGACACACAGAGTGACAAAAACACACCCACAGAGACACACAGAGAGACACACAGAGAGACATCCGGAGAGACACACAGAGAGACACACAGAGAGACACACAGAGAGACACAGAGAGACACACAGAGATACACACAGAGAGACATCCGGAGAGACACCCAGAGAGAGACACAGAGAGACACACAGAGAAACACCCAGAGAGACACACAGAGAGACACACAGAGAAACACAAAGAGAGACACACAGAGAGACACCCACAGAGACACACAGAGAGACACCCAGAGAGACACACAGAGAGACACACAGAGAGACACACAGAGAGACACACAGAGAGACAAACAGAGAGACACACAGAGAGACACACAGAGAGACACCCAGAGAGTTACACAGAGAGACACACAGAGAGATACCCAGAGAGACACACAGAGAGACACCCAGAGAGACACAAAGAGAGACACACAGAGAGAGACACAGTGAGACACACAGAGAGACACACAGAGAGAGACACACAGAGACACACACAGAGAGACACACAGAGAGAGACACACAGAGAGACACACAGAGAAACACCCAGAGAGACACACAGAGAGACATTCAGAGAGAGACACAGAGAAACACACACAGACACATAGAGAGACACACAGAGAGACAAACAGAGACACACGGAGAGACACACAGAGAGACACACACAGAGACACACAGATAGACACACAGAGAGAGGCACAGAGAGAGACACAGACAGCCACCCAGAGAGACACAGAGACACACAGAGAGACACACTGAGATACACCCGGTGAGACACCCAGAGAGACACCCACAGAGACACACAGAGAGACACACAGAGAGACACACAGAGAGACACCCAGAGAGACATACAGAAAGACACACAGAGATACACACAGATATAAACCCGGAGAGACACCGAGAGAGACACAGAGAGACACCCACAGAGAGACACACAGAGAGACAGACAGAGAGACACCCAGAGAGTAACACAGAGAGACACACAGAGAGACAGAGAGACACAAAGAGAGACGCACAGAGAGACAGACAGAGAGACACAGAGAGAGACACCCACAGAGACACCCACAGAGAAACACGGAGAGACACCCGGGGAGACACCCAGAGAGACACACAGAGAAACACAAAGAGAGACACCTGGAGAGACACCCAGAGAGACACACAGAGAGACAACCACAGAGACACACAGAGAGACACCCAGAGATACACCCGGAGAGACACACACAGAGACACACAAAGAGACACACAGAGAGACACACAGAGGGACACACGAAGAGACACCCGGAGAGACACCCAGAGAGACACACACAGAGAGACACACAGAGAGTCACACAAAGAGACACACAGAGAGACACACAGAGAGACACCCAGAGAGACACACAGAGAGACACACAGAGAGACACACACAGAGAGACACACACAGAGACACAGAGAGACACACACAGAGAGACACACACAGAGACACAGAGAGACACACACAGAGAGACACACACAGAGAGACACACAGAGAGACACACAGAGAGACACACAGAGAGACACACAGAGACACACACAGAGAGACACACAAAGACACACACACACACAGAGAGACACACACAGAGACACACACAGAGAGACACACACAGACACACACAGAGAGACACACACAGACACACACAGAGACACACACAGAGAGACAGACCTCTTGAGGAAGTCCATGTACTCGGCCTGCTTGATGAGGCCGGTCCTCATCATGATCGTCTGGAAGCATTGTCTGTCGATTGCCCAGAGGCGCACGTTCGTGATGGCTGAAGAGACAGACACACACACACATACAGACACACACACAACAACAACAACCGCCATTCGCCACTAAGTGGCGGTGACGTCACCACGACGCTAGTGCCAGGCCACGTGACCCTTGAGGGCACGTGGAGTGTCGAACGCCCGCTGGCAGGAGGTCACGGGGCAGACCCAGCAGGTGCCACGGGTCGACTGACCGAGATGACTGGGCTGATGCACCACCTGTGCCCCCCCTACCGTGCCAACCTGCTGTGCTTTAGCCACCCGGCGCTCCACTCGTTGTTGTTCCTCGTGCAAAAATACGAAGAACAACCCAGAGCCCAGGCCTACTGATGGTATCATAGGCCTTGACCAGGTCAATAAAGCTGCCCCATGACCGATTGGGAGTTGTGAGGGTGGAGTGTCCGATGGTACAAAATACCCAGGCAGGTGCTTAGTTTTGGTGGGGCTGATGGTAAGGCCCCACCTCTTAGTGGCACGCTCCAGTCTCAGCAGCAGCGTCTCCAACTCCTCCTC